TAAATATTAAGATAACAGCAATAGATAACTTAGGATTGTGCTCAGATAATTGGGGTTTTTTAATGTTTAGGATTAGACTTGCATATCTAAAACAATAAACCACTTTTTCTGCAAACTCCATGAAATCAAATGGAAGATGAGGCTAGGGGAAAGAGGGTAAGCCAATGATGATGTTTACTGTGTGTTTTTTTTTTTTTTTCTTGAGGATTCAATGCAAAAAAGACTGTGTGACAATCAATCCTCCATGAAGAATTTTATCATTTTTTTATCATTTTCATTTTATCAATTTCTTTAAACAACAGCCAGTCTCATATACTGAAAAGGAAGAAGTATAATTAAAATATACAGAGATGCTATTTATGTGCAGGTGACCTACTTGTTAAAGTAAGAAGAGCTACAGATGGAAATATCTTTGTTCTATTTTCAGCTGTCACAGCAGCTTCATTTCGAACTAGTGTGATTCTCATGCCCTTGTGCTTCCTGGGACAGATTTCAAGAGTCATCCTACTAACTATGGTAATAGTAATAACATGTAAAACTTTTGGGAAAAACTGAGAACATTATTATATTGAAAAGATCAGATACAGGTGTTCTGGAAATTATTTTTAGCAATTGCATGAAAAAGCACATCTTCACTTTTTCTGAACATTCATTCCTTCCAGAATCTCAGGATTCTGAAACTTGCTTGACTATAGATCGCATTCTCTATTGAACAAGAAAGAAGAGGAAAAAGAGCCACAGGAAAAGGTGTGAAACACCTAGAGTATGTGCATATATTTCTTGTCCAGTAGAATGCTATTCCCAAAAGTGCACAATAAATAGACAAGTTTTCAGATAAATAGTATCAGTTTATTTCCTGCATATAGAACATTTAGTATCTAATAATGAAGGTAACTCCATATTTCCAGAGCTATACCATGCCTTAGGAGGAAATTTATCTCCCAAGATGATATTACAGTGACACCAATATGTCTGTTTCTGCATTTATCTCCTATGAAAGGTGTCTACTTTTCAGAAAAGAAAACATACCTGGAGGAACAGGTAGCATAACAGCAGGAGGAGAGAACCAGAAATGTAAAATTATACTTTTTGTTATTCTTTTCAAAAGATATATTAGAAGAAAGTAACTAGCTCTATTAAAAGATAGTAGTATACAAAGTACATTACACAGTTTATCAGTTACTGGTTTACATGTTTTTCTTCCTTTTGATCTCACCAAATAGCTCTGCATGAACATAAATGCACTTGTGAAAGATAGAACAAATATAGCCCTTACCTTGGCAGATTATACAAAGGTGCCATTCTAAAGCAGGCAACTACTGCTCTTTTCCTCTGTTTAGATAGCAGCTTATGCCACACTGCTTTTTTGGACCGCTGAGGATGCTCAACCTGTTAGATAAAATACATATGGAAAAATAAACAATGTTGCAATGTCCCTACTGTCTGGGCATAGTGATAATAATAAAAATGTGAGATAACAGATAAATCAAGTGGAAAGATAACAGAAGAATAATAGATGGGAAAAAGTGTTCCAGACAGAGTTCAAGTGATCAGCCAGATTGTAGAATCAGAACTTAGAAAATAAACTGAAAAGCAAAAATCTCCCTTTCCTTGTATGATATAGATACTCTCCTTTTTTACTTCATCCGACTTCTTATATCTTTTAGATAGAATATTATCATCATTGAGGCCATCTCTCAGGAAACTTTAAGAATCTACTCTTTCTGTCTTTTACATGTAACTCTCTACATATGTACAGGTAAGCTGTACACCTTCATATTGCCTCAGACAATACTTTTCAGGGAATTGTCTTAAATACAATTAGTATTTTGTTTGTAATATTTACCGTGACCAGCTACAATGGAAAGGAATTAACATTAAAAATGAAAGACAGGCATGAAGACTTACTTAGGACTAAATCCCTTCCATGAATCTGCATAGCTAGAATGAACATAAGATATTCCAAAACACTTCAAGCTACATTTTATAATATTACAGCTCTGTCTTCAGATATATTCTCTTTCTGCACCCTGGCTCTACAGTAGCATAAGATGAAATTGGGTGTGCTCCATCCTCATCTTTTGCTCTTTTAGTTTCTTTTGTTCCACCTTCCATCCTTGTTTCCATCAGAAGAAAATGACTACTGTGATTTACTTCACATCTGGTTCATAAAGATTATACCATTTGATTTAACCTATACAACTCTTGTAGAGTTAAGGGGACGGGATGTCTTTTGTATGGGGTTGTTTGTTTGTTTGTGGGGGTTTTGTTCGTTTCTTTTATGGACAACTGTGCTAGTGGAATAATAGCTCCTCTGTCTCCCAGCATCATCAAAGGAGTGAATGGAAGTTAGCATCTCTACCCTGAAAGACTTGGTGATTCTCCCTTGTAATAAAATAAAGCATTTTATTTAAAATATGTAGTGATGATGATGGTTATGTAGACTCATTATTCAATCCAAGAGGACTTTCCTAGTTTAGTGAAACACGAAAAAATATTAATAGTTAAACAACAAACATTTAATTAAACAGACTAAAATACTGACAAGCATTCAGTGAAATGGATAATTACACTTGTAAGATTAAATGGTGACATTCTAAAACAAGTTCCTCCCAAAGGATAAAATACAAATGAAAAAATATTTGTTAAGAGAAAGGATATAAAAGCTTTCACTGCAAACATATTTACAGTCACAAAACAAAGTCAGCGCTAATAATTTAGAAGCCAGACAAACCCAAATGTGAAAGTTAGGTAATTAGTAGTATCTTCACAAACAACTATAAAACTCTCTATACTTTCCCAAAAGAAATAGCCTCGGCCTATGCAAGCAGATCTCTGAAAATAATAAAAACAAAGAAGTTAGCTGTGCATGGAAAGAAAATACAAAGAATGAACTGGTCTTTGCCAGTGCAATAACAAAAGCATTCAGAGTATGTATATATGGAGAACAGAATATTTGTATATGGAGAGCAAAGGATTACTCAAGACTGTCATAAAAACAGACCCAGTGCTCACATATTCATTACTTTTAAAGACATTGAATAACCCATTTCAGTAACAAAAGCACCTAAGCACTTGTCTACAGAAGACAAGCAAAGCTGTGGGGCCAAATCTTTAAACAAATAGCTGCAAAGTACCCGGAATAAAAGCAGCCAGCATTTACTTCACTACAATTCATGTTTAAATCTGATCAGAAGGATTGATCTGAAATGGCGATCTGGTATTACAATGGGAATCCATCCTGTTCTGTACTACTGCTGGATTCTATACACTGTGAGATTGATCCTATGACAGAATATGGAAAACACAAGGATCATACCTTGGGTTTCACTCCCTTGAACAACTTCTCCAAACTACACAAGCTTAACCAATTTATATATATAATGGTATAGCTAAAATGCCAGAAATCAAGAGATTGTATATGCTGTTGGAACTCAAATACAAGAGTCTAATGCTGAATTATGCAACTCTGTACATACTAATAAATTTCCTTTCAGTTTGGTTAACTTTGATAAAACCAGGGTAAAAGACAGGACCCCCACGCTTCTAGCTTTCCTCTACTCTTCCTTCTTCCTCCCAGCCATCCTATATCCTTTCAAATCAACACCTGTTCTCCTGTCTCTCTCTCTCTAGTAGGCTAACCATGATTGCCATGGATTTAGTTCCACATTCTATATCACTTGTTGCTTGCTCCACACATATCCAGTAACAGGTAAACTTTGGTGACTCCTCCTGTAAGGCTGCTGAACTCGAAGCAATTCCACATTAAAGCTGGCAAACTATATGAAGAAAAGTTGTGTGATGAAACAGCTGGGACACATGTATGTATTCCAAGATCTCTGAAAGTCACTTCTAGTAATCAAGTGCCGCACAGTGTATATACAAGCACTTTCACATATCTCTCGGGTTCCTACTTGACTGAACCAGTGATCTCATCACAATATGGAAACTTCCTGACATGGGGTCTGAAAACCTGTGCCAAGCTTCTGAGTGAAACCAACTAACCTAATGAGAGGGCGAGAGAGCCTTGAATTCTCAAATGTTCTTTGAAAAGGAAAAAAAAAAAAACTGAGCAAATTTTATTTACAGTCATTTCATAGTCTATTGCGTAACCAGCAGCGTTCATCTCTGCCACTGTGAATACCCTTCAAGTTAATGTGCTGTTTCTTCAGTACATTTTTAAAAAAAAAAAAGCCTAGAAAACACAGAACAAATCTAAAGTGCAAAACAGCTAACAAGTCAGTAAGTAAAATGGGAAAACTAAATTTATCAAGTAGTCTTTGACTTGTAAAATGTACAAACATAGGGGATTTTTTAATTTCAAAATTTAAAGAATTAAAAACTTAAAGATAAGTAATAGACTCTTGTCCCAAGGGGAGGAAAAAAACAAAAACAAAACCGACCAAACACCTAACTTCCAACATTTATTCTTGGTTGAACTATTTCTAGGGACAAGTTTAGTCAGAGAGACAAAAGACAAAATTCTATCAGTGCTAGTGGGAAGAAGGACACAAAATAAATTACAGAATTTTTTATATGAAAGTTATTGTAGTCCAAGTCACATGGGAAGTTCATATATTTATGCAAAAAAATATTAGATAAAACAATAGAGCTTCATGCCAGATTCTGAAACAAGTTAAAAGTTCTGGCACAACTTTCTCAGAAAAATAATTCCTCCACCCTGCTTCTACTATTTCTTGAATACAGCAAGTAATATTTGAGCTGGCCAGGTTAACCTTGGTTTGTATTCATCATTGCACCAGCATGAACAAGTCTGAGTTCACGTATGCAACCAGTTTGCTGGACCACCAAAGAGTATTCTTGCTCAAACTTCCACATTATCAGCGATTTTCTGGATTTCAATGCTAGTCTAATTTTCTAAATGCATATATTCTTGCCCACGTTCACACAAACTTCCATACAGATTTTGTCAAGTGGACATTCTTCTTACAATTTTTTTAACTAGTACATAGTAAATAGCTTTCTAAAGCCAACACTAGAGAAGCTGTGTATCAAATCATCTGACTGTCCTACTCCATACAGCTATAATATGCAACTTCTAACCACATATTTATGTAGGCAGCTTTAAGTTTCTTGCTACTTCAATAATTCAAGAATCTCAACTGAGGAAATATATCTTGAAAAAAGGCACTTTTTCAATAATTAAGTTGTTTTTTACTCACATTTCATGGTCTATAAACAATTTAGTGATGACTTCCTGCTAGCTGAAATGCACCAGAAGGAAGCTAAAACATAGGTATCACTTAGTCCTTTCCCAAACAAAAGACTATTGGAGCTGCTGCGAACACACTGTGTGATCAATATGACCATGATATTGGATTACAAAACACAAGGCAAAGCACGTAAACAGTAGCCATCGAAAGAAAGAAAAAAGAATATAGCATTAAATACAGCGGGTGAAAGTATAAGTGAAAGGCTGAATACTTTTGTTTAGATTAAGAAGCAACAGAATGGGGAAAGTGTGTCTAACCTGTTCCAGGTGAAACAGTACATTAGCTATATCAAGGACCCTTTCCACAGTCTTCTCTGGATCTGAGGAATCTTCAGTCCTGTTTGGTAAATCTTTGTAAAGTGCCATCTGCCACCTAATGGCGGGATCCTCAAGCTGCAGGAGAAAGATTTCACACGTCACCAAGGCACAATGTTCCAAACGTAGGGTCAAACAGTTTAATTAGTACAGAAACTGCTTCAAAGGAAAACAGAAGCACTTTATATGGCTAACCCACACCTGTACATGGCTAACCCATACAGAGTCCACTACACTGACTGGAAGAACAAAACTAAAGACTGATTTGTGCAATGTATCTTGAGAGCTTCCAGAGGACTAAAAGTCTAATAATCATACAAAGAGCAAATGATCATGGGCCAACAAACAGCACTGGCACCAGCAATGAATATATTATTTGAGGAAAAGTAATGAATATGAGGTAGACAGACATAACTTTGTACGCTGACTTTCCACTTACTAAACCAAACAACAATGAAATTGTTGCTCTACTAGTTGGGAAGACTTAGCTTTCAGTCATGGAAATTAATAATATTGGTCTTATTTAAGTCTATTTTTTTTCATTTTAGGTTTTTTCAATTGTTAGAAAATCCTGATTTTACTGATTACTAGCTAAAAAATGAAAAGTTAATTTATGAAAAATGAATTCAAGATGCATTTGCTTATTAACCTTCAAATTATAAAGAACTGTATGAAACAAAATGTTTTTTCTTATTTTTCTCTTTACATTTCATCTTTTCCATTTCAGTGATCTGTGACTCTCTGTTTTACCATTAGCAATATCAGTTTTGGTTCATTTTATCTCTCCAGTGCTTCTGCTAATCAACACTGATGCAACACACCTTGCAACCATTTTTTGTGCCAATGACACTGAAGACAAATGCAACGAGTAACCCATTTCACTGAGAGCTGTGGCCAGTGATCATTCCTGATTGTGCAATTTAGGTTTAAGTCACACTGGCCTGGATTCCTAGAGCATTTAGGAGCCTAAACCCCACAGATTCGAATAGGGCTTAAACTCAACACTTACTTTTCTAAAACATCTTGGTGGATTCAGATTTCAATTTGTGCCTAAGATGAGACAATAATGCTAATTCACCTCCACAAAACATCTTATGATACACAGTTTACTGAAGTTCCAGGAATGATTATAAACTTACACAGTCGCTCAATAATAGCTTATTACAACCTAGAAAGCCACAATTGGCAGGCATTTCTTCCACCTTTCGGCTTTTCCATTTCTTAACAACTGTCACATCCACAGTCTTTGTGTGAGCATTTGACTGGATCACCATGAATGGATAGTCCACAAAAGACTTTTTAATCACAGGTGGAGATGTCTTTTGATCTGAGGACTCCTCACATTCTATCAAGGTACAGCTTTTTTGTATAGGTAGTTTTCTAAGGGTATGAGTAGTTGACATTTCAAGGTGTGAATTAGCATGGCTGGAAGAAGATTTTGGTGACTTGAGCTTCATCCATGTCAAAATGAATGCAAGTTTCGTCATCAATTTCTTGAAATAAAAGGCTCGGTACTGAGTAACAGCATGCAGGCATGCAAGGAAAGGAAAGACAGAAACAGGGTGAAGACAAATGTAGACAAAGGTAGACAAATGCATGAAATAGACGCCTCAACATTAATAGCTAAAGTTTCAGAAGGATGATTCTCAAACAGTGCAGTTTACCACAAAGAAATCAAGATAAATTACATTTTAACTCTAACATAAATGACAGAACATGGTGTCTGTGAGAAGCAAAAGTGGTTAACAGTAAACCCCATTTGAAGAAAGAATATTGCTATGGTTGGAAGAAAACCAGCCTTTCCAAAAAGTGGTATTTTTCCTCTGTTTTGAAAGCCACCTTACACAAACACCATTATAACTAAGTTACATATTAATTCATAACATTAAATAATAATTTAAATTTATATGACCATTTGGCCTACATTCCTTTTCTGCCTGACTCAAACAACAAAAGGGTAGTGTATGCATATAGCACAATGGCATCATTTTTCTTAACAAGAAACATCATACTCGACTGTATCTGATGTGTACTTGATTCAGTCACAATAGTGACTGAATACTAATGGCATCAGAGAATTATGGAATAAATTATATTGTACTTTGTAAATAACTACTGAGTTTAACTTTATACATTATACTTTTAAATGAAGTTATACACTTAGGTTTAACATGAACTCTAGGATGTGTCAGTGCTAAATGATTCATGAAAAGATATATTTCAAGACATTGAGAATAAACTACTTAGCAATAGATAACAAATCATACTAAAGATAATAAATACAATAATAAATAGAAGTTTTGAAGTCCTAGAAATGCCATATTTTGTCTGTAGTTGAGATGACTACTTTTCCCATACAGGTCAAAACCAGAGCTTTTCAAAGCTAGTAAAGCAATCTGCAGATAGCTATAAAATAAAGCTAGCTACAATAGCTACTTAGCTTTATTAGCTACTTATTATGTGGTTCCCTTTCAGAATGTTATCTTCCACTGGGAGTTCATTTTACATTTAGGAAAATCCAAAGTCACTGCTGAAAAGTTTACAACTGGAAAAATCCATCAATGTGTGCTTTGGATTAGCTAAGATTACTTCCTCCTTAATTATCAAGGCACCGTGAAATTTCATCAATGTAAGAAACTTAAAAGTACTTCTATTCTCATGTGTTATAAACAGAGGAGGTGATATGTTGCTGAACAATAGCAAACTTTTAATTGAAGCAAAGGAATTTTCTGAAGAGAAAGCACAGACCAAGGTATTAAGAAGTATCATTACTCCAAGGCAACAAAGCAGTAACAGACAGAAATTTCTTAATAGCAGCACGCAGAATGTAACCCTAAAGAAACAAAACAGAAACTGAAGTATTTAAAACAGGAGGACAAATGCTAAGAAGCAGCATGAAATGCCAGGCAAGACTTAAAACTGCACGGCTCACAAAATGACAATATACACATACTGAAAATGTCAGAACAGAAATACCCATCTTCATCATTAATAAAATACTACTGAAGTTCACACACAAAATCACAACACATTTAAGGTTTGTATGTTCATGGCATGCACATTGCTTAAGTACTGTTGCTCATGAAGATCATCATAAATACTCTTTTCTTCCTAGCACTTTGCCTCTGTGGTTTCTTCTGCTTCTCAGTATATAACAATATTTGCTATATAAGGATAAGTATTTCAAGCTTTTTTTAGGATTTAACCAAATCTGTTGTTTTCAGTGGTAAACTTTTCTATGTGCAGTCCCTATAATTTAAAGCTATTGGACTTTTATTTGTAATATTTTATGAAAAACGCTAATTGTTAGCTTTGCAAAATGATGTATCTTCTTGTGAGCTCCCAGAAACCCCAACCTCCATATAATCTTGCTTGACATTGCAGCGATATACAGAAAACATAAGATGAAAAAAAATTAATCTTCAGATATTATTCAGGAAGAACCATCCCATTACCATGTCATTTAAAGAAAAAAAAATTATTGCCATGCACTGAATTGCAGGGGAGTCTAGACTTCTGGACGATTCTTAAATACCTTTTCAGAAAAAAAAAGCCAGATTTCCAACTCACATGTTTATTCTCTTGTAACCATTTAATGAGCACAGGAAATACTAGTTAGGTTTTTCCTTGAGGTGAATAAAACATGGGAAGGGGGGAGGAAGTAAAAGACAATCCTAAATAAAGCACCATCCATAGGTCCGATTCCATCTTCCTTCAACAGAGAAGAAATGTACATCATTTTATTACACTTCCGTATTATGTCTTCTTCTTTGCCATTATATAAAGCATTAATAAAACAGTTCAACTACACCAGGCCAGTTCAGGACTTCTTCCCTAGGGCTCTTCATCTGGCACTAACTGCAATTTGATAACAAAAATCTACACTTTTTCCAAAATACTTTCTTTTCCCTGGGCTGAAAACCAGGAACAAAACTGAGCAAAGTGGAGATTTTTCACTTCACAAGAGTCTGCCAAAGTGGCAGCATCCTTTTCCTTTACACTTCAAACTGATACAAAGTAACTTTGAGCATTTTGCAGATTCCACCCAGAATAGTAGAAGGTACAGTTTAAACAGTGATAGACTTTGCTTCCATCTTCAATTTCATATTAATGGTATGCATAGGCAGGGATTTGAAGGGCCACATTATTGTATATAATGCATATATAAACACATTAAAAACCTAACATTTAACAACTGACGCAAACAAGTTACTTGACAGAAGAGAAAAAGGGCCTACAAGTTATCCTAACAAACAAAGGGAGTTTGTCTTTACATGGCACCAACAAATGAATTCAAAGGAAGAAAAATCATGTTTAAAAACTGCATATAGATTACCTTGCCCTGGAGATGAAGATTACTGCGGATGGTATCTCGTACTTCATCTTCAGTATCTTTCTGTCAATAAATTACAAATCATATAAATTAGGAATAGAAGGTAATTAAGAAAAGATACTGTTCATATACATGTCAACCATGGGCTTAGTTCAGATGATGAATAAAACTGACAGTGTGGAAGATTGAGGAAAATCTCAGTGGCAATACGTCTTTTTGTATCATGCCAGAGCTAGCTGTATCCAAGCTCGCAGGACCAAGTTCTGGATGGCGTCATTCATATTTGTCCGCTGTAACACACTAAGTGCAAGTCTGAATTAAAATTGCTAGCACATACGTATATACATACTTCAATCTAGTTTGACCAAATGAAACCAAAATCACGAACACAGCCTTCTCTGATTTGATTTCCATTTCTTTCGGAGATCTTTTATCCTTTATAAACATTCAGTTCAGCTGTCCAAGGGTCATATAACCCACTAGTGTGTATAAAGTATCATAGCTTGAGAAAGGAGTATATTCCAAATTACAATCACTGTGAGTTTACTCCTAGAAGAATCACTTTTAAAATAGTTTATCCCTACAGAAATTCTTGCATTCACATGAGAGGGATCAAAAGGAATTAGTTATGATATTGGGCATAGACATTAGGAAACATCCAGTTCTCATTAGCATTTCCAAATTCAAGCTTCATAAAATACAACAAACACAATTTAGCATTAAAAATTAAGAGGGGGAAATAACTGTTTTAATTTAAGAATGTCATCTCTATTCATATACTGATCATTTAGAAAATAAGTATGTCCAAACTGAAATGTTTTACGCGCTGAAAATGAGAACAATATGTAGAAACTTAGAAATGCAAAAAAAAGCACGTACCATACTGAATCGAGTTTTGGCCAGTGCAATGAGCTCTTGGTCTCCAGGAGCACAAATGTTTAGGCCAATGGGAAGTAATCTCTTCAGTGCTGCCACAATGAGAGAGGTCTGCATAGAGTACCGGTCACCTTTTCGCTTCATCTTCTTCCTCTCCTGGTCAGAAACTGCTGCCTGCAGCATAAAGCGAAGATTTAAAAAAATCCGGTATTAAATAAAAGAATTGTGCTAGCAACTTTGTACTTATCTCTGGTTTGACAATTTCCTTACTACCTATACAGCTGCAACCCTATCCATGGAACTGCCATTATATCATTGCCAGTATTTTGCACCAGTATCTTGAAAGTCTACTGTGTTTCACAAATGACTACATTTTGATCCTCAACCCAGTGTCACTGCAGATATCATTACCAAAAAAAAAAAAAAAAAAAAAAAAAAAAAAAAAAAAAAAAGCAAAAAAAAAAAGCGCTTCTCTGGAGTCCTGTCTCCTTCCCCTCTGCAAAGAGAAAAATATAAGAATCTTTACACTACCTTGGACATCTTAGATTTGGTGTCACTGATAAGGAAAGACATGTTGTTGATTTCATTTTGTACCACAAAGTTCTGCTCTTCCCTTTTAAAATTCTGGAAATATACAGAAGATCTCAGTTAGAAGTACTTATGATATATGAGGAATCTATCTATACAGACCTTAAATAAAAACATAAATTAACTGGAAATTTGTAAAATCCACAAGGTAAGACAAGGACAGAAAAAATTAATGGATGAACAATTATAGCCTTGAATTCCAGCTTTACATGACATAGCTCAGGGGTTTTGTGTTTTGCCTATGCTGGAAAGAAATGTTTCTCTGGCTATGAAACAGCTATGATAAAAATCTCACCCCTCTAATTCAATATAAAAATATTGTCTGGGTTTTCCCTTACTAGTAGATCATCCATTCCATTTTTTTCCCCCATTATAAATCCCACTATTCAGACACAGAAGAAAGTTTAAATAGAAAACTGAACTTATGAATACACAAGTAATTTGATGACGCAGTATCTGTCTACTGTGCAAACAGTTTCTGTGCACAGCAATGTTTATAATAAATCTTTCAGTCAAATTCAGGCATAAGTACACAAATAATAAGGCATCTTCTTTCCCAAACTTGAGAGAACTGAAGTTATTGCAGAAAAGGAATTTAGTATAGACAGCAGTCCATAGAGAGATCCAATGCCTGAAAGTATTTAGTCTCTTTTGGGTTTTTTCTTCTTTTGTTCTAGCATTCACATGAATCATGTTTTATTTTTATATAAGCACTACCAGTCATGGTGCCTGATTAGGTCTTAATGCAGACCCCTTGATTCTTGCATATGAACCAGAGGAATGAGACTTGAGAACCAAGGGTAAATTTTGTAGAAGTGGAATTAAGAAGAAATCCTTAACTGGTAAAATTTATGAAATATGAAATAGTATCAGCTATGAAAAAAAAAAATTCAGCGAATTACTTGTAAGATATATTTGCTACTTCCTTGCCCGTAGAACACTTTCTTTCTTTCATTCAGTCCAGCTACAGACCTAGGTTTAATAATTGAATTATATAGCTTTAAGTTTTATTAAAGAAATACAAATCTACACTGCAACACAAATTAAGTGACTGTAAATAGAGCTGCACATTTCCTTCAGGAAACCCTTGTTCCACTAGTCATGTTGAGGACCTTTCCACATGATTTTTATTGTAAGTCTGCCAAGAGGCTCAAGCAGACACACTGTACAATTTAGGAAAGTGGACTTTAATGAGACAACTGCTACTAATTTAGTAGTCATACATCCTGGTTATAAAAAGGCTTTGGGGGTGAAAATAACCAATTGGGAAAAAAATAAAAAAAGGTAGGGACACAGACCACAATGAGCTTAATGTATATAAAAAAACCCAACAACAACGAAACAAACAAACAAACCAAAACAAAAAAAACCCACAAGAAACAAACCAGAATTTATAGGAAAATATCTACAATCAGTGTTACTATGCTGCAAAACACCCATCAACTCCCCAAGCTACTCAGGCATTTCAAAAGTGTCAGGAAAACCAAAAGTACCTTCCCACCTGCAGTTTCACTTCTGTCATTAAATGTGTTTTCCCCAAACACAACCACTAAATAATTGATCTGCCTACTAAGAAACCTAATTAAAACAAGTATTTACCAAGGAATTACTTACATGAGACTTTGACCAGTAAATGAAGACCTCAGCCACCATGCGGAACAATTCTTCCGCTTCAGGGTTGGGCTCTTTCAGCCACTTTGCCCTAAAATTTGGTAAAAGGGTGGAAATGCAGGTGATCCTCACTGGCTTTATGCTTTGAAATCAGTTTTCAACATTTTACAAAGAGATTCAAGCCAACAAAACCAAGCATGGTTTTTAATCCTTTCTGCTAGCAGCGGCTTTTTGATGTCCTATTTCAAAACCCTTAAAATCCTTTTACATTAATCCTAAATCTAATCCAATAGATTTGGATTGCACCGTTTTATTTTCTTCTGTAAAAAGACCCCAGCTCCTCCTAAAAGTTATAAAGCATCAGCTTGAGCAACTTCAAGATTGGCAGGCTGAGTCAAAGCTACTGTCGTTCAGTGCTAGGCATATCAAGGGATAAAGGACAGCATCAATAAATAGGAAGATTTTACAAGAGCCATTGACCTATTCCTCTCCACATACCTGTTATAGTCCACAAATCTAATCAACAAAGGGTAGAAGGCATAGAGGTCCCGTGCCAAAGTGGTGAACTCATCTAGGATGAGCAGTTCAGCCTCCGACATGTCACCTCTGCCTTCTGCTCTTAGATGTTCTTCATCCGATACAACCACTGCTGCTTTTTTCTTTAGCTTATCCATCAGTGGCAGGAAGTGTGTCTTTAAGAGCTGTGGCTTCGCTTTGCTTATGATGGGCTGGGAAAACACTATTTAAGGCAATGAATATTATAATATATACCTGGCCACAAAATATAAATAAAAACTTTTACCTTTCCCCTCTTTCCTGGATCTTATTTCTAGGCTACAGAGTAAAATCCTGCCCCCATTGAAATCAGCTGAAGTTTTGCCAAGAATTAAATGTGGTCAGGATTTCACATAGTCAATTCACTTTGTCACTATGAGGGCAGAAATTACAACTCCACAGACTAAGCTTGCAAGATCATAAAACTTGAAATGCCTCTTTACTGGCATTCTGTCAACATATTGGTATTTGCCCGCATAATTTTATTGAGTAATGTAGAACTTGTTTGATGGTATGTATGGGTGCATACATATTTAGCTACACAGTGCACACACAAGTTTTCTCAGCCACTGGCTCCTCTTTTGAACGTTGCTTTTTAGCTTGAGCGAAGTAGAACTGGAAAGCATGCTCTAGTTATTTGCAAACCTACTGAAACAGCCTGCCTGTATTTCTTACGCACATTAGGACACTGGAAGGCTTGTGTGTAGACAGAAATGAGACTGATTCAACCATCCATCAACCAGCCATTTGAGACTTGTTAGCACAAGCTTTTTGCAAATCTACTCATAAAAATGAATATGTAAATTAGCACTTCATCTGGGCCCATTAGTGCAAAACCATTTGTAACATATCCATTAGATTACAAAGAATTTTAGGCCGTTACCACTTATCCTTAGAGTGCATTACATTACCAACCCTCAAAAGACTAGGAATCCAGACTGAATGAAATCACTACTACAATAAGTACTGAAAAGTCATAAGAAAGCCTAATTGAAAAATGGAATTCACAACACTGAAGTGACTTTTCCTTACAGATCGTAACATCGAGAAATAAACAGTTTTAAAATAAATTTTAAGGTGTTATCACAATGAAGTTCATGTAAGGATTACTAAAATGACATACGCATTTCCACATTTCATTGTAATAGATATGTTAGATATGCAGCTTCAAAACAATATTTTAATGATCCAGTGCTCATACAGAGTAGCAAGGGACTGTGTAATGCCTGCAAATGGAAACATGCTATATAATAAAACAGGTTAAATAACTACAGTCCTTTAATTCAACATACTGCAAAACGCGTATGTGCATATTCTGGGGAAAAAGGAATAGTCTAATGTACTACTTATACTACTTATTAAGAGATTAAAGCATACTGCTTACACTCTGTCTTTATACTTAATATTTCTAGTTCATCAAGATCTGTATTGTTTAAAAACGTAAAAATATGAGTGGTGTTCTACTCCAGCTTTAACAGGGTAACTACAGAGTAATTCAGAGTGTGTACACATATATAAATTCTGAATATACACACACATGCTTGTTTTTTCATTTATGTATTTATTTTTACATCTTACCTGCTAATCTCTTCATCCAGGCTCCTTCATCAATACCAAGGTTATTGTAGATGATTTTCAGTATGTTACCCAACAGAGTGTTCATGTGCTCTGACGTCAAGGCTGTGCAGCACATTTCGGCCTTGTCAGGGTTGTTTTCTGGCCCATGCTCCCACCAGTGTGACATATAACTACATAGCATAGGCAGTATTACTTCCATGATATGTGGCATTTGTGTGTAACGAATACCAGACTCTGCCAGTTCCACAATTTCTTCCATTAGCTTCACCAAGGAAGGAATATTTGGGCAAACCTCTTCTACACTAGCAGGCAAACTGAGAACTATTGAAAAAAAAAAACAACAAAAAAACCCAACCAAAAATCAATAAACTAAGTCATAGAGTCTTTTCAATTGTTATGCCATAGAACTTTTGTTTTCTATTTACATTTATGCCCTTCTGATCCAAGGAAAAAATCCCAAACACAACAATAAAAAACAGGTACTTCATACCATTGAGCAATAAATTTTTTATATCTAAGCTTCAATAATAAAACTTCCTATAATAAAAATAATTGCTATATGGAATGTAATTATTAAGAAAGGAATTCAGAGAAGTCAGATGCACTTTGCTACATTCAAAATAAAGCTTAAATTTCAGAATTTCTTCCAACATAAGCTTTGCAGATGAGGAAACAAATGGATACAATGAAATACCTCTCCACAACACATTAGAGGAGACCTGGAGTTAACAGAAATAAAAAAAAAAATCATTGCCTGACATAATGAGTAGAGCAGATTCTGACACACAGACTTCTGGAGGTGAATTTCTGATTGTAAATGTTTACTTTTCAAGTTATTTGAATTGTCAGTTCCTTCCTCCGAAAAGGCACTGCAGTTGCCTTTATTTTTGGAGGCAGTTTCTTTTATCTACAAATAAATACCTGTAAGCAAAACTATTAGCTCTTGAATGTCTAACATTCTGACGTACACATACAATGAGATATACAGATATCTATATACTGAAAATTTAGCCTGCAACTTGTGAATCCAAATGTTTGTATCAACATAACCTAAGGCTAGTCTTTCTCCGAAAACAGTCTCTTCTCCTGTTTAGACCCAAATACATTTTACGCAGCCATCGCAGTGTCTTGCTTAATGCAATTTTGGAAAATAAATTCAAATTTCGGTTAAAAATCAATGAAAATACAGCTGATTGTCTTTCTAGATGTATTAAAATAGCTAGAATATATATGGTAAGTAAGCATGGCTGTTGATATTTTCCAGATAAGATAATATAGCTCTTTGAAGAATGGTATGCTCCCTTTTTTTAAAAATAAAGGTGAAGTTATAAAATGGATGCCATTATAAACTGGCATCTTATACACTGTCATCTATACATATCTGTGATACAATTGACACAGCATATATGCAGTTTGTACAGTTTTACTGTAACTTCTCTTCTATTTACTGTAGGAACAAGTAGTGCGTATGACCTTATTCAACAACTATGTTTTAGCATAAGAAATATCAAGAGTTTCAGAATGGAACAAAAAGGTATATGCAAAATAGACATACATAATGTTACTGGAAAGTATCTGCACTGTCTTGTATTTCAAACAAAGAAAAACAATTTACATACTATGCAGTGTATTTACGTTCTACAGGCGTATTACATACTTAATACAGGCAAAGGTATTTTGCTTCAATTGCACGTATGTATGTTTTAGGGACCTCATATATTGCATATGAAAACTGAGGAACTAAAGTTACTGATTAGAATACATAATTTTATCATCAAATATGTAATACCTGAGATACTAAAAATGTGCAAAGTCCCTTCAATAAATTGATTCCAAAGTGGTATTTTGAGTATGGCACCTCAAAATGAAAACATCGGTATCTTTAGAAACATAAAATAATCGGTTTTATCAGACTTAGCCCATTGATTTAGGAAAGAAATACAACCAAGAGATTACAAGAAAATCCTTGCATTATAAAATGTATGCAGAAATACATGTATTAAGGCAAGCAGCATTTATAGTGAAATTGTGTTTTCATAACCATCATGTGATTTTCTGGAAATACCTGCTCTGTCTCTTGCATTCTTGGTATTGTAAATTGAGTAGATATTATGTTTGTTCAAATGAGTTTCCAAAAAAGCCACTGGAAAGGCACCTGAGAAAGCGGCCAGGCATTCTCCTAGTGCTGATCGTTGCCTGTAAATTAAAAAACATCTTTAAGTATACATATTTACTTCAGGGTAGTTGTATACCAGCCTTATTTTTATTCTAAGATGAGCTCAAAGAGATAATCCACTACATTATTAGCATCATCAACACAAGAAGACTAACAGAGATTTAAGTCCAGCAACCCTCTGCTAATATATGAATGAAATGTTAAGACATAAAATGTCAAAGGTGGCCTACTTAGCTGAGAGCAAATGAGGAACATACAGGGAAAACCCAAAGTCATCATTACTTTTCTCTCGGCTTTACTGACATAATCTCCACTATTAAGAAAAAGCTACTGAATAGACCAAGAGACCAAATACAACCATAATTCTGAGTGATGTAATTTCCTTTTTCTGAGAAATAGTAATAATCAGACCTTGGTCTAGCATGAAAGTCAAGTTCTTCAGAGAGTGGAAAATTGCTTCTACTCATCAATAACTGAAAATTTTGCACAAAACCATTGCTCTCACCTTTTCAAATATATGATGACATTTATTTGATAATCAAAATTCCTTAAGTGTGTCAGAATTGTAAAACTCCTGTCTCTAGGAAGAAGTCAGTAATCCCCTGTCACTTCACTTGGCTCATTCAGGGGACATTTACAACTATTCTTTCTGATTTCCAATTCAGTTGATCAGAGCAGATTTTAGATATGTGAGAAATCCTTAGCTGCTGAAGCTGAGCCACACAGATGACAGAAATCAAGGAGTTCCATGAACTTCCAAGTGAAAAAAAAAAAAAAAAAAAGGCCTGCAAACTGATCTTGTGATTTAACAAGATTCATCTTCTGTCTACAGTTTGTCTCATTTAGGAACTTATATTCTTTCTAGATCTAACTCATTAAACTTGGTTTTGTTAAATCTAACTTCATTCCCATTATTATTTATCCTGTTTGCTCCTTCTTCCTTTTTTTCCTTTTCATTAGGTCTCCATAAGCAAAACATATATCCATCACATACACCTACAAAGAGCATGCTACGTGCTTTTCACTTGTGACAATGGTTGTAGGCAACCAAACACAAAAATTATCACTTACACTGACATAGTTTGTCTTAACTACAAACCCCACATCATTTTTTTGCCAAATACCAAAACTAATTAATTTTATATCCCTTATGAAATTAATGAGACCTGGTTTTCCACAGATGCGTATTTTGTTACTTACAAACATTGGTCCCCACCTTTCTTAATAATGTTTCCTACGATACTGGCACCAAGTAAGCAAGGGCATGTCATGGGGCTGGTCTGGAGTTATGCACAGATTGATTTGCTAGACAGTGTACAGATAAATGAACTTCCTAGATTATTGCTGCCAATATCTGAAATGTATGAGCGTTGTTTAGCCTTCCCTCAGAATAGTGCTAGTCACTACAGGGCAACTATTCAGTTTTCAGAACTGAGTTATCTAGGTACCTCTATTTTTTGGCTGAATATGGTTTACACAGGCCAAATGTAACTTGGAGGGAGGTTAGCAGATACACAGGTGCACAAAAAAGCAATTATAAAGCCTCATTTCCCTGGGTAATTGAGCTAGAAAAGAAGTAGTGTTGTATGAGTGACAAATAAAATTAAATTTTATGTAATGAGAAAGAAATAGACATCACAATTGGACAACATATAAGGAAGAATTGTAACAATAGCTGAGCTGAATGACATATTTTTACAATTCCCCAGTCGAACCTCAAATCAGGTGATATTTATTTTAAAGTCAGATAATTTTATTTGTATTTTTTGTTTTAATCAATTTAATTCATTTTCATTTATTTTGACAAAGATATAATGCAACATTTTAAGTGTATTATAATAAATGAAGCTGCATTCCACTTAACATCTGAGCACCTTTTTTCTCTCCAGGTATCTTTCCAACAACAATCTCTTCCTATATTCATTTCTGGACTGCCTATTCATGAAGCTAAATATAAACACAAATATTAAAAATAGAGGAACACTTCTTCTTCTTACCGCTCTACATAGATACTCTTGCTGGTTCCCAGAGCATATAAACTGGCCAATATCCTGTAACAGGACACCTGAACATCTTCCACTAAAGAGGAGAAGAAAATGATAGGTATAAAGAGATTTTTCTTTGCAATACATTTCTGTAGAATTAAAATTCATTTCTTTTGACAATAATTGAATTAATAACATTAAGCTAGCAAAGGCAATCCACAGAAATCACTCTCTAAATACAAAGTCTTCTGACCACTGAGTGTCATAGTTTTTACTCAAAACTTCCATTTACTTCAATACCAAGTTACCAGCTAAGACAGTAAACATTTCACCAGTGCAGCAACTTTCTGAAATTAACGGCACACCAACTCTTTGTGGGTAACATCTAATTGCATAATCTGAGAATTTATTAATTTAATAGCTATAAAAAAAGCGCGTCAATTAATCTTTCCTAGTTTATCTGTATCACTTAAGAAAGTTTCATGGCAAATCAAATAAAATGCTGAAAGAAAAAAAAAATTATTAGGGAATAAATCTATTTACAAATGTAACGCCGCTGTATAAATTACCTTACAAAAGAAAGGCAGTCCTGTTAAACTGTATATTTTTTCTAGTTTCTCCCACAGTGTTAGTATCATCACCCAATATGCAATGAAAATGTTGGGAGTAAAATAGAACTAAGACTTAATAGGCTGGGAGATCCTACAAGATAGCGCATCAAAGCTACATAGCCTGGCTCTTCACTATACTGTGACTTCAGTCTGGGTCATCTTGGAGTTGAGCATTTTTACATAATATGAGTAACCTCAAGTACACTGACCCACTTTTGTACATGATCACACTATGGACTACTCTGTACATGTAGTAATACTCTTAGGTACAAGCACCAGGTCAAGATGCTTGTCATCAGCATAGTACAAATAAGATAATCTTATTCTTAACAAGATGTAAAGATAAGTTGTTTGTAAGAAAGATTAGCCTTTCCAACCATGCTCTAGACAAAAGAAGTAGGCACAATTTAAATTAATTATTCTTTCTCAGTTTATGAATTCTAAATTGGGGGTTTGACACCAGTGTGATGTATCTAGAATAGCTGATTAAGAATATTAACTTAAGTAATGAAGTATCAAAGGCTAATTATTAAGTTACAAAACATGGAATATCAGATATCAAAAATTATACAAGGCATGAACATGTTGATGCCTGAAAAAGTGGTTTATGATGAACAAGTGATGTATGTGAACCCCACAGATGACTTTTTCTGGATACTGTCACAGACTCCTGAATTTTACAGAAATAATTTAATGAGAAAAGTGGATGTTTACATCTCATCACATTCAAATCCATCAATACAACTCCAAATTTTCAAAACCAGTTCTCTTAATGCTATTTTAAATAATACTTTTCCAGATTCTAAAACCAGGAAAAATATAATTTTATATTCTTTTCTTCAAGGTCCTTCTCTCAGTTATTTCCATAACTGAGTTAGCTATACAGAGCAGAATTACCTCCTTTAGTGCAGTCTGGACAGCAGAACTCCTGCGGAGTTCGTAAAATATATAAAATGAAAGTTTTGTGTTGCAGACCATAAAATTTTTCTTGCAGAGACTGGGTTTGGGAAAATAAAGGACAGTGAATCTGCCATAATCAGAATCTCCACAGAAATCTCATATACAGAGTCTCATACACACTTCCTTCTCCGGTGCCTGAATTCTTCAGGATCTCCTTCCAATTTTCCTTGGGATCAAAGATGCACCCACCCAAATTCCCTGCTAACTGAAACTGAGTCAAGGTGCATGAAGGATGGAATAACATCATTCTCATAGTATAACCTCATTTATAGGCAGAGCAATTAACTTACACAAAGTAACTTTTCACACAAGAAGAAAGTCACAGTAATTCTATGGTAAAGTTATAAACAAAATCAAGCCTTCTGACTGTCTAATCACAGCCACATCTGCTTTAATATTTACACAAAGTGTACTAAAATGTGCAGGCTGTTCTAGGTCAATTACAGCAAATGTTTGATTAAATCAATTACATTTTTTTCGAAATGACATAGGATTTGTCCTTCTCTAACAGACCTAAGAATCTAGTAATGCTTACTACATGATACTACAGATATTTTAGTGGCATGGCACTTCTAAATAATACATACATATCAAATCTTCCCCAAACTGGTGTTGTCCAATATGCTCAAATAATGAAGATAGCACGGGCAGGAGAGCAACTGTGGTGTAATTAATGATTTGTGTAACTCCCTTTGGTTGGTTTCTGCTGTGTGTAAACTGGCCTTGCTTAAGATTTTCCATTGTTTTCTCGAGATCCTCAGCAGCGTTGTCCAAAAATGCTCTCAATGCCATCTTAACAGATTCCAGGCCAGTTTTCATCACAGTCCTGTATATAGCATGCAAAAAGAATGAAAAAGAGTATTTTATTAGACAAGCATGGAGTAAATCCTAGTCTTGGCTTCTATGAAATAGATAATAAAGATCTGAAGAAAAAACTTTCATCTTTTGATATTGTAAAATCCTCTCATAGCAGAACAACCTACTGAAAAAATGTTTCATAGGTATCCTGCAGAACACAGGGATATTTTATCTGGTTTCCCGTTAAGAAAATGAAGTCTTTTTAAATTTATAAATTAAGTGATTCATTTGCCTTCAGAGGGAAAAAAACACCTAACAAAAAAAAGAAGAATTAGTAAATCTGCAATTTATGACTCTAGGAAGAGAACTACCTCAAGCTAGAACTCAGAAAGTCTTCCCACCCATGACACTCTTACTTCTGCCTCCAGAATAAGGGCATCAGAAAGAAATGAGTAAAAACAACCAAATCTGGTTAAAATAAAATAAATAAATAAATAAATAAATGCATGCATTGATTACATAACAGCATAATCAGCTATGTAATGATATAATCCAGAATTATTATTTTATTTGTTTTAACTAGCTCAATTAAAGAGATCCTTTGTTTAAGGAAAGTATCCATTTAGGCATGTGTGAAATAAATCCAGGTGAAATTCTTTTGCAAACTGAATATCAGTCCAAGTTTGTTTGTTTGTTTTACAGAGTGAATATATACAGTTTCAATGGCAATATTTTCAAACTTTCATGTAACCTCCATGAATCCCTTAATTCCCATCTGGAGTTATTTTTACATCTCTCCCAAGAGCTGAATTGGCGACCTCCACCTGTATCTGTATTCCATCTGTATGATTGCATAGAACATGGACAATTTATGACGAAAACCCACCATATCGCAACCTAAAGGATCACCATGCAACAGCTGAGCCATATTAATCGACCATGATCATGACTCTACTCCATAGCAAATGGAAAGCAACATTGGTTCATTTAAGTCACTGCAAAGATACTGAGAAAAACAGCTATCTGCACGTAATCCGGTCAATTCTTTGAGAGTAAATGGAAAGTGAAAAAAGTTATCTTAAATTACCATGGAGGTAGTTTAAACTATCATGTTTTGTTTCACAACTGCAAAGGTCTAAAAGTCAACTGTCAGCACAGACAGTTGACGGTGCAGTTAATGAAAAGCAACACATTACCCTCCAATATTTCAAGACTGCCTCATCCATAAACTTCACAATAGCTCAAGCAGCTCAATTTAACTTAAAGAGTACCACTGAATTCAATGTAAAGGGGATTTTTTTGTTCAAATTAGAACCTGAATTAACTTTGCAATGAAGACACTCTATGAGACAGATTTACTGCACTCCATGTACATTTAACTCCTGAATTTTTTTATTAAAAAGTGTAACCAAAAGCAAAAGAATAATTTCTGATGTTATTATGGTTTTGGGACAGTCACGTGATTAAAACCAGATGAACTAACAGCCAGCAGTTCCTGGACACCATTAATCTGAACTGAAGTTGAAAGTGTAACCTAAAAATATTGTCCTGCCAACCCCTAGTAATTAACTAGTAATTAACCTACTTCGCAATGGGAATTCTTTTCAGTACTACAACTTGTTGAGTTTTGAAATTCTGTAGCCTTACACAGGTAGCCCAAATCTGACTGCACAATATTTTCTTAAGTGATTTTCTTTGTACTTTAGAAAATATATTCATTATTACCTCGCATCCAAGGTCTGGCCCAGTATGTGAAGACAGTTGACTATTGATGTTGCATCATTTCCTAAACAGGGAGGAAAATTATCCACCAATTAAGCTCAGCATACTGTATAGCATACCTACACTCTGCTAACTGTATCTTTGGTTTTAATGAAAGAGTAAATGACATAGCAGAAGAACTTCTGCATAATTTTAACATTCAAGTTAAAAAACATGCAGTTTGTTGTCTTAGCCTTGTTTACACAAATGCAGTAACTAGAGGCAGTAAAGCATCTCTCATCAAATAGCTGAGGCAGTCAAGATGGAAGCACTTAAATGTGGGGTTAATTAGAGCTGCAGTGTATTGTCTGGTTTTCATTTAAGTTCTATAAATTTTGCTTTAATTGATTCAAGTTTATCTCAACATTTATCTTCCCCCTCTCAGTAACATAAAAGCTGTTAACTTTCGCAAGCTGCTATTGCAGGAAGAGAACACTTATATAAAAAGTCATCAAAAAGGTTAGTTCCCTGGTGTTACCAATAGGCTACAGCCATTTATAGCAGGATCAGGTGTGGCCCACATGAGTAACAGTCTCTGACGTAATATGAATCTCCCATAATCAATTATTTTTTTTCACACTTTTGTATGCAAAAAGAGAACTTACACACAACACGGCTTGTATCCATATGTACATCCCAAGATGTTGCCATGTACAAGTCACCTCTAAGTTCACTTTTTAAATCCAGGACAGATTTAGGCTACACAAATTTGACCCACAGCTTATTTAATATATATTAAAAAAAAATAAAATCTAAATCTCTGCAAAAATGAGAATACCTTTTCTTGCTTCTCCATAAATTCAAAGTTTCTCAATTAAAAAAAAAAAACAAATTGAATGTTTAAGATAAGATAGATTTCTGAAAATACTGACATCTGCATACAGTGTGCTATTATTTCTCACTGGTGGTTATTTCACTTGAAAATATAGGCAAACATACAACTAAAATTACTGTTTCAGTGAAATAGAGATTTAAAAAGATAAATTGCAAGGAAGGAGTGGGAGATTTATTGCAGCACTGAGAATATTGTTCTATGCTATCAAATTAGGAGCTATTATTGTGGTGTTCATCCACAGTAGACTAAAGAAACCTGAACAACCACTTCCACAGCTGCCTCTAGCCAGGCAGCCCCACCCTCTTTGCACTCGCACTGGTGCTCATGCAATGATACAGTGAGCAGATGAGACAGCTGAGGTGGCCTAAAAAAAAATCCTACCAAAAAGACCACCCCAAAAGATTAAGTTTTTTGTCAGCTCCTGGTTTTTTTCCTTACTATTTTACTACTCTGGTGATATGAATGCCAGTGCTGATGAAGAGTGCAGGCCTGTGCTAATGACAGCAGGGATGGAGGGAAGTACTCAGAGCAACCCAGATTTAGACTGTGGATTACACTGTCATGAAATAGTATCTTAACATTCATCGTGAGGGTGTGTATATGCTACATGCTACAGTGCAGTACAGAGATGCTCACTCCAGTTCCCTGCAAATTTACATTGGCAATCTATTTATACCATGTAAACACATTTTAAGAGCCATATATTTATCAGGAATCAGGTACTTTGTACGCTGCAACCAGATGGAAGGGTCAGAAATTCATCTACTCGTTCGGTAAACCAGAGAAACTTTAGGCATATCCCTGTAGCAGATAATGCAATGTGGTTGGTTCCACAGACTGGGCAGAATTCAGTGACCATGATAAATGCGTCCCTCCCTTCAATCTAAACTGATTGACATACAAGAGTTTGGCCAGTTTTGTCCACGCAACACTAAAAATAGACTTTCGAAATTATGAAACTTCTTTTCTGGAATGTGTCCTTTAGGCAGGATTTGTTACAGATTCTTAGAAAATGCAATTTGCTATGAAAGACAGGTTTAGATTCAGTGGAAATTCTGTGTCTTGCTTTTGTTCAATGTCATGAATTTAGTCATTTTAACTGTGTTTCTAAAACAAAAACCCACAAAAAAAGAGTGTTTTTTTTAAAATTTTACCTTAAAATACCACAGTTAAAACTAAAAAAAAAAAAAAAAACTATTTAAAACTGAACTTTTCAAGAATCAGTTTGCTTCCAACCCTGGGGTCAGAAGTCAATTTCAGAAGGCCATTTTTTTTTTAAACTGAGTTATAAAACCTAAAGTGAGGGGTTTTCTAATGAAACTAGTTTTATTACTATTGCCAATATTTCACAGTGTATATACGTACCTTTATTAAATTAAAATTATTCTTTTTTTATTAATTAAAAATGTTCTTGGTTTTCAGAAGCCTGAAAACTAGATACAAAACACTCTGATGTAGAAATGAACATGCAGTATATAAAATTCTGTTGCATCATGAAAGGGGAGCAGGTGATAAGTACAATTCAATAGCATAAAAACCGATACAAGAGCTGTTCCTTAAAGGAACTCTTCACACAACTCAAAACAGTAGAGGCTGGACATATACAAATACTAAACCACATGAGTTCCATGAAGTTTTAAGGCTAAAAGTATCCCAGGAGACAGTATAAATATTAGTTTGATGGTTGGATAACCGTTCAGCAAGTATTACAAATGCAGTTGATCCCATGAACTGCACAACTGAGTTTCTTTAATAATCTGAAGTGCAGTCCTACATATTTTAGAAAGCTGTATTATTATATCAGGAGGAAAGAACTGTTGCTGTATTCCGAAAGTGCTATGGATATTGATTCCAGGATGCCTCACTGGAAGGACACTTATAAATTCAGGATGTCATTAGTCAGTTTCTTTTTAGGAACTCCTCTGATTAATTTCTCTAAGTTCCCAAAAATAAGTGAGCAAAACCAGGTCTTCCTTTTCTGATGTCTTACCCAGCTGATTTTTGTTTCAGATTACATGGATCTGTATTACTGACATGAAGATTTTCTAAAAAAATTGCTTACATACTTATACAGAAAGGATGCCTTATTGGAGATTTAAACAATCTAAAAATCGAATCAAACTAGTCATATAAATTTGGTTTTTAAATTGAGAAAATATAAATTCAAATGCTCAAGTCACCAAAATTATTCACTAACAACTTTCAAATTCAGCCCACTAACAATAAGGAAAGTAAATCAATAGAGTCTTACTGATGCACAACTACAGCTCTCAAACAGTAAATTATTGGGGTCAAAATCCACTTTCACAGTGTAAAGAAATAATAATTCCATGCTGAATTACAATTCCATGCTGAATTACAATTCCATAATCTCAGTGACACTCTTAGATATCAAATGCAATTAACTGTTTAAGTTCACTCTGGAAGACTTGCATGCTTAATTTCCCATTTTATCAAGACTTGTATATGCAGCTCAAGCTACGTGACTTTTACTAATGACTTTCACACATGCACCTGTATCATCAGAAGTACCATTCAAATTCACAATAATATAAAACACCCATATAGCATTTTGCTGTTTGGTATAGCAAAATCCCCACTATCCATAAAGGTTATTATTGAGCAACTCTTGCTCATTCAAGATACGCCTCCAAAACACACAGATAACCTTCTAGGCCCCAGCTGTGTTCAGAGGCTGTCCCCATGAGCATTTTCCCCTCTTCTGCACAGGCCTTGTCTTTGCTGGACTAAGTGCAATTCTTTTGATCAGGTTTTCTAACATGATGTAATTCACTGTCAAGGTAAGGCAAACTGTACGGTGACATTGACTTGAGTTAGTAGGTCCACAGTAAACAACCATGCTCCAGAGTCTTATGGTGACCTTGTCATAACTCATGGAAGAACTGCACTACACTTCTGTGTTGGCATAAAGATTTTGTACTCTGTTAGTTACTGCGGACTAGAAAAAGAGTTAAAAAACAAACTGTAGCCATAGTGAATAGTCATCTGATCCCATCTGACTTATCTCCTTCTATCATTTGAACCCAGCCAAACAACAGGGAATAAGCAAGCTGAGATGTGGAATGGAAAAGATCTTTTCTTTAGTGCTGAAGAAAATTACATAGATTTTTAACTTCAACTGTTACTCATTTTAGAAAAAATGTCAGAAAAACAAATTCACACAATAATAAAAAACATTTGCAAAATTTTAATAGTATACCTGAGCTAGTTCATTCTTTGAAGAAACAACCTAGGATACAAATCAGAGCTTATGTGTACGTTTGTGCCATACTCCACCCTTCAGAAAAAGCTGCAACAATGCCACACAGCTGCAGAAATAACTCCATTCCTCCTATGATCTTTTGGCTTTACAGCAAATCCACTCAGCTCATCCCAAAACTTAGTTAAAAGCCATATCGCAAAATAACTTCCGATCTTTCTTCTCAGTTTAATGGTTTTCATAACAGTCTGTAAGCTTTTTAAACACCACACTGCTGCAACAAGTGAGTTCTTTCCCTTCAAACTGAATGAAATAGGTAGGAATTGAGTTAGATGCATGTTCTTTTAATCAAGTTCTAATTCGATAGATAATTATGCAACTAGGTATGTTCACGGATGCTGATGTTTGCAGTGCATCCATCATAGAAGCTATGTATGCATAGCATGTACTATTTCAACTATCCTATCATGGCATAAGAAAAAATTGCAGAGTATATGACTGTGCCACACACTGCATATAATGTATACACTTGATACAGACTTCAAATTTACTTCAATTAAGTGATTTTCACATGGCATAAGACAAACACCGAGCTCCTGCTAGATTCACGTAGTACCAGAAAGATAGTACACATGCTTATGTGGAGTTAAGCACATCTGGGAATATTTAAGAATTCCACAGAACATAACTAAGCATTTCAGCCCACTACAAATTTTTCTTAATGACTTTCCAATGCAAATGTGCAGTTCTGATGCTCTGTTTTTCCCAAACGATTTAGAATAAAATGACAAATTAGTGATTATAATTAACTCAGCAAAATTCTTTGGTAGGATAATGAAATCCAGATATTAGTTAAGACACACGGAAAACTAAACAAAAAAAACCCCAAACTGATAACTACAAAAGCTTTTTATTCCATCTAATAAATTCTGTGATCTACCAGCCTACACAATTAGTGGTCTGTGAAGACCATGCATTTCAGCCATGCAGCCATGCAGCATGCAACAAAGCAGCACATAACACAATGCAAAAATGGCAAAGAAAACCAAGTGATGGCCATGCTAGTATTTGTCAAGGGTCTCCTTACCAAACAGTGAAATCCTATGCCTGACAAGAACTCCAAGTTTGCAGAACAGGCTGAAGACAAAAGAAAAATAAAAGAGAAGAGAAGGGAAAAGGAAAAAAATGGGGGGGGGAGGGGAGGGGAGGGGAGAAGAAAGAAAAAATAACAGCTGATATGAGCAGGAAAAGCAACATGATGTCACGCAGAAAGAATCAATTATCTGAGCAGAATGTGGGACAGTACTAAAGAAAGAGTTTTTAAGTGCATATCCTTAACAAACATGGTTAAATAAGCACATATTATAATTAAAGAAACAAAAAAAAAAAAAATAAAAGCAAAGCTAATTAATATAAAAGCATCCTACATGATAAACCACAAGGAAATAACCATCAAAGCTTTAAGAAGTAAAATGTGGTCAGTGTGCTATTCAGGATACCACTGAAATTTGAAAACAAAAGGTAAGGAAATCAGATTAATTGAAGTGTTTGATGGCAAATGTTTTAACTAGTCCAATTTGGACCTTGTCATCTAGAACGCAGCGAAAATTTCTTTTCAAGTACATTGCTTTTTAAACACACTTAACATGAGAAATAGCTTCTTACATGGTTAAAAAACAACAAAAATGGGTATGATCAATGACTGCATTTCACATGTTTGAATTCCTGTGCTGATGAGTTGTGCCCTGTTCAGAACAATGAAGAGTGAAGTTCTGTGTTAATTCATAGAAGCAGGAGCACAGTGCCCTGCCCAGATTGACCTGGCCTCCAGATCTAGGAGGGGTTAGCTCAATCTTCATGATCCAGTCCAGTCTGAGAATTTTCTCCAAGAGCAACATCAATTTTGGTGTTATTTTTTATGCTGCAAAACCCCTCATCTGCTATAAGTGACATGAACAATATCATGTCATTTTATTAAGCTATTTAATTATTAGACACACAGGCTAGTTATCAACCTCTGATTTAAAAGCAAAAGACACCATAAGCATGTCTGCACAGTTTATGGATGAGATCTGAACATGTTGTTCCATTGACCGACAAAAGCATGGTGCCAAATGGAAACATTTATGTCCAGAATCAGAACAGCAGGTTAATGTGGTGTTGAATCCAGCTAATTAGCCAGTGCACAGTGATCCACTATAGCAACAGCAACTCTTCTGTTTTAGAAATGAGCCTGGTTGGTGCATGTTCAGGGATCTCTGTTCACTTTTTATTCCATGAGGCAGACATATACTATATATTCTTTTATGAGGATCCTGGTCCACCCAGTCCAGCAGGAAAAGCTGTACAGAAGCATGTTAGCATCATATAAATCTTGTGTCCATTCTAACAAAGACATTAAATAGCTCACAATCTATCTTATTTTCTAACATACCAACGTTACTCAACTGACTGTAGCATTCAGCAGATGCTATGTTTTCACAAAGTCAGACTGAACCTATTATCTCCAGTGTAATTAGTTTAGATTAAATAAATAATGTCCAAATGGCCAGTACTTAGATTGATGTCCAGAACTAATTTTATACAACTGCAGTACTACAAGGACTTGTAAAATGGTTTAATGGATGAGAAATGCAAAAAGCCCAATCCTGAAGAGGATGGTTACAAATGAGATGGAATATAATGCCACCATATTTCAAAAAGAGGTCTGACCCGTATTTGCTGGCAAAACAGATCTGGATTTAATGTATTTGCTGAACACGGAATGGTTATTGCACTTGTTAACACTGCCACTGCATTATCAATACCCAAAAATATACTCTTCCATAGCTTAATGAATGCAAGCTTATCTTCACTGGAAAAAGAAAGCAGCCAGGAACTGCCCTTAGCTTGAAGAAAATCCTACGCATGAGTTCCGCTCAAACAAATCTAAAAGGAAAACTCAACAGAAAATCCAAAATTTGGCTTTAGCAAACTCCCTACAATACTGTAGGGGAAAAAGAAAAACCAACACAAAAAATGTTGGGAATCTATTAAAATGGCCCAAAACAAACCTGCAGGAAATGGATCATAGAATGTAGTTTCTATAATCTTTCAGTCTTGGTAATTAAGAAATAAACTGCTCAATAGCACTGGTTATAGCTATCATTCATCCAAGGTTTCCTTGCATGTGTTTCTTCTCTTTGGCTGACGCTTCTGGATGGCAGGTAACTCAATTAAGTATGGCAGCAGCTCTGATCCTTTTGCTGGGCTACATGTTCAGGAGTCTCACAGCTAGAGAGCATATGTGCAGAAGTCCTGAATCTATGCAGCATGTATGCTGATATATCCATGTTTGACATATTCCAGAAGTATGGGTTTTATTGGCATGACTTAACAACTGTGAAAATAATGTTAACCAGGACATTACAGACAGAAAACCAGCAGCTCAGAGAGTGGAAAAGTATCTAGATGCATGCATTTTGATGGAGTATTTTAATTCTTTGAAGCATGCCATTCAGCCAAGCTGCCAGATAAAATTAGTCCATGAGATGACACAGGGTCAAGAAAGCCTGTGTCTTGTAAGACATTACTTACTTATGCTTAGTATTGTGGCTAGAAACTTCACTCAATATTCACACAATCTTGCAAACCCCGCATATCTGTATGACCATATGACCATCAATTGGCTGTCAGCCTCAAAGAACAGCAATTCAGTTTTGCATGGTTCAGTACGCAGTAACAGCCAAGAAGGCAACCATGATACCTGTAGATTACAGGTATGCAGTAGGGTCTTGTGTGAAGCTTGTAGTCCACCTTACTGAATCGGAACTATGGGTTTCAATTCAATCAGAAGTAAAATTAAGTGAAAACATATCTTAGGGAGATGGTCCAAAAAATGGACAACTTCAGAGAAAGGATCAAGTGGATATTTCTGTCATATTACTACTGTTATTACTATTTAGAAAACCAAAGAGCAGAACGAATGCAACTCTCTCATTTTTACTCTTTATGGTGGACAAAAATAATGATACTTACAGAAACACAGTTATAAATAAGTTTGGCTTTTAAATCTACCACAAAATTTTTCAGAAATAATGATTTTAGTATATACCTGTTTCCAACAGTGAAACTGATACGCAATTGTATAGCCTGTGCTACAGATTGTGCAACTGATGTATTGCTGCACATAATGCTAAACTTTTTTTTAAACAGTTTCCTGCATGCTGAAATCATCACCACTACATTTAAAACAGCATATAATCGTAACTCTGTACTCCCCTCTTCATTTTATAAAATGGATTTTCCTAACAGGAAAAGAAAGTGAAAAAAGTTTAATTTGTGTGTTCATAAAAATACTTCTCTGCCTCCCACTTCTCACTTTCCCACAGTCAGCTGCTGCTGTTTAGAGACAAACACACATACGTGTACACATTAATATTATTTTAAGTTTTACCTTGTCACCATTTCTTTCTCTTTATTAGAGGCATGACCTCCACTGCTGAGAGGCCTACTTGCTGCAGATAAGAAATACAGGCGATGATTTTTAAAATACTGATCAATCAAAGGGAGCACAACCTGAAATTACATCAGAAAGAAGTGGTTATCTCAGGTCTTTCTTTACTATGTTCTGTATTACACAGGAGATTTCAAATGTGTTTTCTGTTTTAAAATCTCTATGTATTTTTTCTTTAATATCTATTCCTCTGAATTTATTTACGATTCAAGGCACTTAAAACGTCATCGGGAAAGGCAGCAGAAAAAAATTTACATTATCTCTGGGACTTGATCTGTGTATTTTTTAGGAGGAGTACAAAGCAGAAAGTATAATTTCATTCTATCTCACAATTTAAAATTTTTCTAGTACCACATACGCAGACACAACTATTGCTGTTCATGCCTTTTAATGTAGGTTTAAGAAAAATTCACCTACAACTGTCAGCGCATTAACAGCACTTAATTCTAGATGCTATCAAATAAAACTCCCAAAACATCCTCACTCATTAAGGGCTTGTCCACAGAAATTTTCCTGTTTACTTCATGTGGTGACCATTACCCAGTGCCCACAGCACAAGTCAGCTAGGAGGAGATCCAAAATAAACAGCCAATAAGAAAATCTGAAATTGCTTCCTTTTTGGAGCATGGCTCAAAAGAAGGTGGAATGCTAACTTCTAAGTCAATGAAATTGGCAGATAGCACCACATGGAAGTACTTTAAGGTATCGAGATTAGAATTTACTGCAAGGATATCAGGGTTAGAAAATGCTGCAAACAGCTGCCTTTGCTTATTCACTAATGAATTCAAAAGGCACTTTGAATATGCAAACACATACAAGCTTTTACATGCGAAAGGAATAAGCAGATTTTCTTAATTTACAATGTGTAAAACCTTCTTGACACAAAAAGGAGAATTGGGCTGACAGGAATCTGATGACTTTCAGCAAGGGGAAGTGCAAAGTCCTGCACTGGGAATAATCCCAGGTACCAGTTACACACTGAGTGCTGACCAGCTGGAAAGCAGCTTTGCAGAGACGGACCAGGGGGTCTCAGTGGACAGCAAACTGACCACAAGCCAACAATGCACCCTCACTGCAAAGGCAGCTGACAGCAGCCTAGGTTGCATTAGACAGAGCATTGTCAGCAGGTCCAGGGAGGTGATTCTTCCTCTCTACTCAGCACTGGTGGGGCCACCTGCAGTGCTGTGTCTGATTCTGAGCTCTCCAGTACAACAGAAACATGGACATACTGGAGAGAGACTCCAGTGAAGGGCCACAAAGATGATGAAGGAACTAGAGAATTTTTCAAATGAGGAGAGACTGAGGGAGCTGGGACTCTTTAGCCTAGAGAAGAGAAGGTTCAGGGAGGATCTCATCAATGTGTATAAATATCTGAAGGAAGGGTGTAAAGAAGATGGAGCCAGGCTCTTTTCAGTTGTGCCCTGTGACAGGACCAGAGGCAATGGGCACAAACTGAAACACAGTAGGTTCCCTCTGACCATCAGGGAACACTTTTTTACTGTGAGGGTGACTGAGCACTGGCACAGGCTGCCCAGAGAGATTGTGGAATCTCCACCCTCGCAGATATTCAAAAGCCATCTGGACATGGTCCTGGGCAACCTGCTCTAGGTGATGTTGCTTAAGCAGTGAAGTTGGACTAGATGACCTCCAGAGAGCCCTTCCAACCTCAGCCATTCTGTGATTCCATGATGGAGACATCAGCATGGTTTTAAAACAAGGAAAAAAATAAGGAAGGTGACACTGACATGTTCATAGCTGTGTTAATTCCAATAACTATTGCTCACAGTTATCTGCCTGAAGATTGTAAAAGAGAAAAATCTTCAGAATTAGACTAAGCCAGTAAACAGAAAATGTAGGGAGGTTATAAACAGCATCATATGAGTAGTTGCATATCATGGGGCAAGGAAATAATGAGAGTAAGAATACAGTACTGTAAATTTTTCACGTCTATACTTCATCCTACAGTATTTTCAAGCTATTTTTGTTACTACCATTTTTAATTAATAAAATAATGAACTTAACACAGAAAAGTGCCACTATAACAACAAAAATCATGTTCACTAACAAATACTTTCTCACTTCAACTACTTACTACGTTGACAAAGAATAAGCGAAGATATACCGTACTTTGGCAAAAAACTTGATTTCTTGTTCATATGGGAAGTGCTCTCCTTTGCCTCTGCTGCCACCATCTGCAGAGAGAAGAAAATTAAGCTCCCTGTCATATATCCTAAATACAGTCTACTCTGCATTTTTCTTAGAAAGTGTACACTATAAACAAATAATCCTGGTTATCTTTAGATGTAGATTTAAGATACCACAAACCATATATACTAGTTAAAGTGGCATTTTATGACTACCTCATGAGAAGAAAATAAATGTGCAAATATAAATACAGCAAATAAAATGTGTAAAGAATAATTGTCCAAGTCTTCATAAAAACACAGACATCTCATAGTCCAAAGAAATATGGATATTTTTGTGAGATAACAATCTAGTCCTATGTTTGTATTTTTCTAGTCATTGGTGACAATTTAGAAGCCTGAACTCAGATTCTAATGGAACACCTTTCTCCAGTCATTCCCAGGAGAAAGAGAATTACAAATTTTTACTTATTTGTGAATTTTGTCTAAAGAACAAAATTAATGGTTAGAACTACCCAACTGAAATTTAAATTGCGTCACTTCCCCTATTACTATAAAATTCAAATACTCTTTACAGACATAATCTGCTACAGCTCCCAGACTATTTACCCTTTATTTATTACCTTCTTTTTACTAATCCGTTGAGGGACATGAATGGTATTTGTTCCACCAGTCTTTCTAGTGTTTCAGTAGTTATTCGTTATCATTCTTGCAGTTATGCCATATCTATATAATTATGTAGAATGAAGCCATGATAATCAGGCATTAGCAGCAGAAGTAACTCAATGAGTTATCAAGGCCAAACTTTTGCTACTGTAAGTAATCATGGCATATAATAATTCATAAATTTGATAATTTCCACTTTAAAACTAGATAGACTTTTGGATAAGCATTGATTTATTCAATCTCCCTGCTGTTCCTGCCATTAATACTGTCAATTACAGCATCTATGCCTAGACATGAGGCACAGTGTATGTTATGTGGCATTGCAACTCCCATGGCCACACAGAAACTGCATCTGGCCAGGTTTTTTGGCTTTTACTGCTCATGTAAGAAGCTGACTTGGGTCACCAAATTTTTTTTTTTTTTTTTTTAATCTTTAACAAAAGCAGATCAAGTTAAATCGTTTCTTTAATAGCACTGTTGATGAAACACATGCTGAGTGTTTGTGAAAGAACATTCCCATTGTGGAGTTTGTTAAAGAGGCTTCTCTACTCAACTTCCTCCTCCAGAGAAAATTTCAGAATGGAATAAATGACTGGTTTAATTTGCTCTGTGAAGAAGAGATTACACATGAATAGTAAATATTAATGTGCACATGTGAGAGATTATCAATTTGTGCATAAATACAAGGGGGGAGCTAGTTTTCTTTTTCAAAGAGTGAAAGTTAATATAAATTTTGGCTGAACCCTTTTCACCTGATGAATGAATATGGGAAACTGGAATGAATATGGGAAACCAGAATGAATATGTGAACTACATAACTTTCCAAAATTCATCATCATCACCAACTATAGAAAACTAAAGGGAAAACTCCTAGTCCAAGAATGTGTCATTTTTTGACATATTTTAGTTGTTTTTATAATATCAAACATCTTAGTTAATAATTCTTAAGAAAATGCACGGGAGTGCTATACCAAACTCCAGAATGTACTGATGGGCTTCATCCACATATCTTATAAGTTGCTGAAGGAAACTGTAGGCAAAGCGTTTCTCAATGGAAGGTGTGTCTAATTCCAGGTCTTTAAGTCCTCTGTAAAAAGAAGCAAGTCAATTTTTACGCATGCAGAAGGACTCAGAGCAGTCTTACCTCTCCATGTAGTCTGACGCCATTTTCTGTAGTAATGATTAACTGCTTATTAACATAAGAATTGTTTTGTGTTTGAAGTAAACAGTACTGTTACGCTTATTTAGGTTTTAAGCAATTTGTTAAGATACAACTCAGATTTCCCAAGTAGGTTACAGAAAAATGAGACTAGTCAATCAGATTAATCGAGTATCACTGTAATTTCTTTCCCTTACTTGTAAGGCATTAACGTGTTATATTTCCCTCCAAGGACTGATTCTTGGGTGAAGGAGTTTTGAAACTGCCAAAATACTTTGATTTGAACAACCAAACCAGAAGTAAATCTAGCCTCCCTCATCACGACTTTTCCCCAAAAGTCTGTTTGTAATGGAAAAACTTCGAATAGCTATGTAGCACTTGTGAAAAATCAGGGGAAAACCAAAACAAAGTGATGGAATTGCAGTTTACCTTTTCCAGTATGTTCCCTCATAGTTACTAGTCTCATATGAAAAGCATATCTTCTTTCAACAAGTATGAATCTGCAGAGAATGGTTCCATGATGTGGGCTGATGTCTGCTAGCAACAAGCTGGCAATGACATAATCCTTAATTCTGTAGGATCAGGACTTTAATGATTGCACATGAAGAAGCTATGCTTAACGAGCAAGGAAGTCAGTCACCCTACTGTCAGAGGCACCAAGTACATTAGTACTGTAATTTTGCAAGTTTAAAAAGTATACCTACTGAATATAAGTGCCTTTGTAGTGCGCATTTCTGCTTTAAAGTACAATATTGATGATGGTAGGGTTCACTTTCAGAAAAAGAGATTCTGGAACTAAACCAGCTTTGTCAGCTGATACTTGAAAGGGTACAATAGTGTCTGCTTCGTTAAGGTTATCTGATCAAAGACCTTCTCAATGCAAAAGGGGGTAATAAAAGGGAAGCCATAAACAAGAACAGATGGAGATGCAAACCTGGTAGACACAAGGGATAAAAGAGACAACACTGGAGACCAAAAGTCTCCAGTTACTAATTAATGGGCCATTAAGAAACTTCAGACACAACTCTGGAGAAGGCCACCTGGATTTTGTAACTCCTAAAAGGAGGGGACATGAAGAACACAAGGCTTTGGAATATTCGAGGCACATCAGTGGAACTACACAAACTAATGATGGAATGGGTAGCGGAGGAGGATCAAGGAAGAGCAAAGGGGAGAAAAGACAAAAAGGGGTATAAAAGGGGCCAGTCACATGTAAACCGTGGCCTATCAATACAGTTGCCTGACTGAGCCCTGCACCTCATCACTAGAGTTTGTCCTTTCTTCTTATTGAAACCTTTCTTAACTATGTCTCCGTGTAATCTCACTCACTATCCCATGTGTATGTGTGTGCTGCGAGGAGTAAGTGCCAGTTACTGGCAAGACCAGCATGAGTGGATACTCGGCCAGCAATTGGAGTCAGATGTGGGGTGTAGGTGCCCCCAGGCCTGTGGTGCCTGCTACAGCAGTGAATGAGGGTCTTGGCATCAGTAGGCCATAGCTTTTGGGAACATCTCTATGGGTCCTACAGACTTTGAGCCCAGAGTGCCAGCTACTGCAGGGGACTGGCCTGAGTGGATTTGGTGCTAGCAATTGCAGTCAGACAGTGGAGGTGGTAAGGCACCCCCAGTCTGTGGTGTCTGCAACTGGAGCAAGTGGGAGTCTCAGTTGCCAGCCACTGGGGTGGGAATGCTGTGTGTCCCAAAAAACAGCTAAGGTAGGGGGGGCAATGAGGGGACCGCAGGTCACAGGTCATGTGCCTGAGTGCCATGCACTTAGCAGGGGGCAAATGTTGGTATCTTCCTTAAACCCAGTCTGCATGAGGGTGCACTAGACTAGAATGGTCACTGTCAAATAAAAGACTAGAAAGAAATGTGTGCAAGGCATATGTGGCAGAAAGTCAAGTGGTAAGCAGACCAAAGAAAAACATGAATCAGATGCTTGTTTGTTTAGACCATGCAGTGGTCACAGGAGCAGCAGGTGCATTGAGTTTAACTTGACAGAAAGACCTGCATTTGACTAGCACAGGAGGATGCAGATGCAGCAGGAACTATTTACTAGATGATGGGTGTGTCCAAGTTAACGATTATCTTACCATCCCTCAGCCTTCCACTCCTCCAAACACCAAAAGCCACTTTTCACTTGTGTTTAAGTTAGACAGAAATAAAAAGGATTAGTCAAAAAGGAATGTGTAACCTTGAATACAGCGGAGGAGTCTTTTGTCATTTTGACAGGGGATGAGAAAAGAAACCTTTGCTGACTGACATCCTTCTTTGTACATCCTACAGCCATTGAAGGGAAGTAAATTGAATTATTCCATCTATCCTGAAAGATTTTACCTAGAATTATTAGATTAGCTTTGGGACTCTCTAAACTTGCTGAATTTCATCTGTGATATAAAAGAAAGGAAGTAGGCAGATTTTAAGTAGATGTGCTAGGCTAATTAATTCACAATGATTACTAAAATCCATCTCTGTGACTGTTTCATTCACTTACTAATGTTCAAGTCATACAAATCTCAGATACGCTTTCAGCCTTTCTTAGTGACTCACATTTCCTAAGCCATGCTGACAAGGCAGACAAGCCTCCAATTTAATTAAAATTTTATTCATGCTGCATTTAGTAGGTAAATATATTAAAACCAAAAGGAATTATGCATGTTATTCTGCAGAGAATAGCACGTATAAATACCAAATTATGAATGTTATGTTGATTACTACATTTATTCACTATTATTACATTTACACTGTGGATTGTTTAAAAAACCCACTTTTAAATAACATCACTTTTCACTTTAAAAATATTTTAATAACAGTACAAATTAACTCAGTTGAAAGAAATGAGTAGTAGGTTTTAGAAATAAAACTGTCTTATCAAAGCAACTGCATAGAAATTCCTATAGAGGTGCATGTACCTGACCTGTAATGAAGACTAAGTAACTCTATCACTTGTAGAAAATTAACAAGTTTACTAACAGTTGGATGCATGGAGACACATCAGAAAGAAAAAGCATGCTGCAATGTTGAGACGAGAGGCAGAAGACACACAGAGATTCTGGAGAACTCTGCTTGTGCCTTCCAAAAACCCTGCTACTAACTCTGTAATCTATTTCTTCCTTACAGTGTTCTACAAGGACATCATCCTTACTCCCAGGTACTGAAACCTAAAAATGACCATAGATTTTTCTTTCAATGAAAAACAAAAAGAGAAAAAAAAAAAAAAAAAAAAAAAAAAAAGAGGTGGGGGGGGGGGGGAGGGGAAGGCTACTGAGGAGTATTAGAAACCTTCTGTGACACTAATGCTGAACAGAGAATTACCTGGAGACAACATATCCATTAATCTGTAGAAATTTCAGAATATCCTGTGCTTTTTCTCTGTCCTTGGCTTTTTCTTTGGCTGTGAGTGTATCATAAGGAACAAGAAGAGGATGGTTGCCTCCTCCTACTATGGAACATCAAGAGAGTTAAAAAGCAGTTAAAGAGTTATCTGTTGACATGGTAAGTCCCAGTATGTAAAAGCACTGTCATAATAATACGTAGCATGTTACAGTAAAATCTAGTCTGAAATAACAACAATGCACTTTCTGTTTCTTTACACAAACCTGAAAAATATTCAGATAGAAACTTTAGATGTGGTTGCAAACGTACTTCTAACATAATCAATTGCTGCAAGCACCAGGTAAATATGTTGAACCTACTGGAAAAACTTTTAAAGAAGAAAACAGTACTTAATGGTTATGAATGTGTATTATAACTACAGGTTCATTCAATGAAACTGAAAATATTTCAATAAATACCACAACATTTCAAAAGAAAACCAAGATATAAACAAATATATAAACATATATAGAGTCCTGCTTTTAAACATTCTGATGACAACAAAAAGGGTTCATCATATCAACAGCAAGATATACACACATCTAAAATATATGGAAGTGATACAGTTCTACTTTATAGTAATAAATTAAAGACAGAAAATTAGAGTACATTATTCAAATGTGGTTCAGACAACCATCCAATCTGATCAAAAGAATGCTGCCGAAACAGAGAGGTCAACAGAATAAACTGTATTTGTATTGCTTACAATTAGCTGAGGTATTGACACCTCTCGGAAAGTAGATAGCTAATTTGGCAGGAAAATAAAGTTGCTATTGTTAATATAAATATCTGCATAAAAAACAACATTCTTCTTTAGAAGGATTTCACCTTCTAAAATCACCACCATACAGCAGAACACAATAAATTCCTATGATAATTGCTATGAAACCCCAGGAAATTTTAAGGGAAATTGTAATGATCAGACTTATCTCATAAAAAATACTACAGCAAATCTCTAGTAATAATATTTAAAAAAAAAAAAAAAGGAACAAATTCCCTCTAGAAAATATTGGAGACATATACTTAGGTGATTTTGTAAGCCAAATACTCTAAAATTTTTCCATTAGTCCCACCTGAATCCATTTAAGTACATGCAAAATGGTAACCTATTGGGCAAGTCTGATGGGCGTTTTTTTTGTGTGATTTGGGTTTTTTTACGAAGTACAGCCTTTAACATTGGGATAATTGGGTTTTATTCTATTATCACGCATATGATCTAATTCCACCTTATTACAACTAAAGACAAACATGCAAAAATGCATATAAGCATAGTAAGCGCACATGCCCTATCTATGGAAGTCATTAAGAGTATAATAGATTATTCAATTACAATTAATACAAGCAAAGTGTTCAATGAAGGGGAATGACACTTGCAATTTTCAGGTGGCTAACATAGTTGTGTATGTGAAAAGCCTTAAGTTAAGAATAGGAGTATTTTACATCTAAGTCTGCATTACTGTTCTGTTCTTTACACATGTGTAAAAAAAATATTTCAAGACTAGCATACGTATATACTGGAGGAAAAACTCCACACTCTTGAGGACCAGGTTTTGCTCAGCTGACAAATGCATCTACTTTTCACAGGAAGAAACTCTCCATCAGAAGCCTCTCTTTCATTCACTATAGCCACCTCTAGCCTTCTCAGTACTATGCTGCTTTCCCCAACACTACAAATACTATACAGTGTTCTCATTGAAGTTCTGCTCAGAGACTAAAATCTGCTTTCAAAACTGCCAAATACAGTAGATCCATTTAAATATCTAGTTTTCCTGTAGCCTATGATTTCCCGGACTTAGCCCATCTTGTGGCTACTTATCCTAAAGAAAGTTCTAAGAAAAAGGCTATAAAAATTAAAATAAAAGCTGTATTAAGGGGAAATATAACTAAAGTCATGGAAATTCATAGTGATTTATCAAAGACACTTCCAGGTGGAACTTTATTTTTTCATAAAACCTTAACTACTGTACCTTTGCTGGAAGCTTACAACTAGTAAAAAAGCAAGCACACAATTAAAAAAAAAAAAAAAGGCCAAGCTGGGTGCATACAATTAGACCTGACACCTTCACATAAGACAAAACCCTAGCTTCAGTCATTTGCAAATGAGAACTTGCTGTTTCTCCAAATATCTTTTCCTCCATGTGCAAATAGAATGTTATCTGCAGAGAAAAAATTAGCTTTAACACAAATAAAGAAATTATTTTAACAGAGAGGAAAACCAGTAAGTTACACAATACATGACAAAATTTGTCATGTAGGTAAGCAGAGATCGTGCAGCACATGCAATTTTTATGTGGAATCACGAATCTGCTCTAGGTTTATCCACTTGTCAATTCAATACATGATAGTTAGTAAAAACCCTTTTAGATCTACCTGCAATAAAAGATGTAATTCAAATTAAATCGGAGCCCACTGGGAAATAGTCTGAAAGATTAATGCTAGAAGGAAAATGTATTCATGTAGCTCAAATGTATTTGCAAGCTTTGACTTCTCTTCCTTTGATGTATTTGAATTGGTAAACTACTTCAAAAGGAACTGTTACACTCAGTACTATAAAAACTTCCAGGCACTAAAAATCACAAAATATTTAATTAAGAATAGATAGTTTGTTGTTTCTTCTTTGTCAATTTAAATTTGCATTCCTTTTTTTTTTTTCCAGTCTATTTTCTCAAATACATGACCTAAGCTAATCGTAGAGAACTTAAAATACTGTAAATACCTATAGTTAATATTACCTTTTGCTTCAAGCTCCATTTTCTTTTTCTTTGCCCATATGTTATGGTAGTTTTCAGCCATCATCTCAGCCATAGCCTTAGGAAAATGGAGAGCTTAGTGATATGTGTTGCAATGGTTAACCCCCCAAAAGCACAACTTTCTCGCTGATATTAAATAACAAGTTTTGTTTTCTGGGAGGTTCAATACAATCACACTGTAATGGTTCACTGAAAACAAGAGGTTTTTATTGAAAAATTATGATACAGAATTTGGTTAGGATGGGTACATGTATAGGAATTAGGAACTTGGTGCTGAAGAGAAAAGTGTTAATACGAAAAAGGAGGAACCACAAAGAGGAGTGTAGTCTGGAAAAAGTACTGGGGTGTCAGACGGGGACTTGATTCTCAAAACAATGCCAGCAAGAACCACCCGAAGGCCGTGGTTAGGGAAACAAAGAACAGCAAGCCAGAAGACTGAAACAAGATTTTTCCTGGTGGCTGTGGCAGACTGACTATAAACCCATGGATGTAGCCTGGTCGAGGTGGATACTCATTTGTGTGAGCACACTCTTAAAAGCACCAGCCATTTTACCAGGGACTCCATAGATGCAGCCACATTTTTTTATTCAGCATGACATTCTCCTCCACTGTGCACAACAGATAGTAAATCCTTCCTATAAAACAAACTCTTTCAGACCGGTAAACTAGAAGCTAGACCCCAAACTAAGCAAAACACAGACAAGCTCTCCAGTGTCTAACTAGTATGAACTACTATTTCAACAAGAAACAACTTTTTAAACCCACCCCTCCTGTCCTCCTGATTGTATACCCTCTAGTTTTATGCAGTGGTGGAGTTTTCTGTAGATTTCACTTTTCACTTCTTTCATGGACCTACAGAAACATTCTTCTCAGCTTCAATAAGGGTTTTGAGTAACCAGTACTTCCGAATACCAACTTTTTGATTTGGAAGAATACTCATGAATTCAGATAACAACTTCAAACTGGCCATATCTTGTTTGTCTATAGGACAATTTGTTTCATAAACTTTTCTCCAATGGATACATTACACATATGTCTCCCGTATGGCAGATGCCTTCTATCATGCAAACTCTAGTCCTGGTGTTTTGATAGTCCAGATTAGGACCTTGGAAGAATGTAGTGTAGTCTGGGTTTTCTTTCCTTGGAAAGCACAGTGCAATGAAGATGGTCTCTGAGCAAGACCTTGCTACTCATGGAGCCAGGATGTGACCAGGTGACCACTTAAAACCAAAATGAGAAGTATTTTCAGACATACCGTTTTAGACATGGTCATGACCCCTGCTAGCACAGTATATGCACAGGATGATATAAACATTAAATAGCACCAATTCTTATGTACTAGTTTAAAAAACCCCAAGCAACTTTGTTCAAAACAACTAACTTTTCCCAGCAATTTAAAACAAGGTTGAAGAATCTAACCCTGAACTCCAACTTTAAAGATACTAAACATTAAAAAAAGTTCAAAATTACATACAGTTCATTTTGAAAACTCAGATCTCATTAATACCCAACATGTTTGGATATTCCCTGAATGACAGTATCAGCACAATTAATACCTGAAATTCCATTTTAATTAAATTTGCTTAGCTTTCAAATGACAGATTTTGAAGCTGGTGTCAAAGAATACCTCTCTTCATAATTAAGGACAAATGAATCATAAAGCCAAACAGCTCTGCTTTATAGTTGAGGGCTACAAAGGAAATTAATTAATGACAAATGTTAGAGGGTATAGCATAAAAGAGTAAACAAGGGAGTAACAGAAGTTCTAATGCCATTTCTTTTGTGGTTTGTGAAAAGATGGTTACTTTTCTGTGGGTTTGGTTTACTCCATCATAACACTATGATGATGTTCGTATCAAGAGCTGTTTCATGAGGATTAAACAAAGTCTGCACAGTCTTTTGACTACGCTGAGTCTATACAAATGTTAAATGATGCAGACATGTAGATGTGGTGCTTAGGGACATGCTTTAGTGGTGGACTTGGCAGTGCTAGGTTAACTGTTGGACTTGATCTTAAAGATCTTTTCCGACTGAAACAATTCTATGATTCTATGTAATTATAATGAAGCTGTTCCGTAAGACTGTGATGACAGAAGTAGTGTTATTCATTTTATTAACTCTTTGGAATGATCAGCAATCTACTAAACGTTTTAACTCAAGTATGATATTGTAAAGCTAGTCAGCAATCTACATTGGTTAGAAATATAAAACTGGAAACTATAAGATAGGAATCAAGGACGGGAAATCCAGTGTGAGAATTTGATAAGAAGCACAGTATAGCATATACTGTACAGTTAGCCAATTACTTTACTACTGCTGCTTGTTTCACTGCACTATGATGGAGCTCAGCTGGGCAAACTTAACCCTGTGTTTCAGGAGGGTTTTGTAGCCAGCTTTGAACACCATGTTGCCATCACTAGACTGGTACAAACACTCATGCTAACTAATTTAAAACTATCGGGTGTATGTCTACATAGTATTGTAACCATACTCACAGTAAATTAGTAAACTATAAAAACTAGCATTGTACTCATCAAACACATGAAAAAACCCCTAACTTTCTAACACCATTTGTTTATCAACAAAAAATATTGTTCCAAATAACAGCAATCTACTGATAGATCTGTCAAAATCCTACCCCCAACTTCTTCATTCTCTATTCTCATAATATTTGTTGTAACAATGGTTCCTGATTCTTATTTCTTCAGTTTAGAAAAAAGAGCAATGACAAATGTTTTGGGAAGATGGTGGAGAAATGAATGATAAATGGAAAAAAGCTGATGCTGCAAGCTCTTCTAAACATGATTCTCTTCAAAATGACAGATGTTCACAAAGAGAGCTGGGAAAATCAATCCAGGGCTAAAATAAACTTTGAAGCTTTTCCACATGAACCATGTCTTTTAAAGCGACAGAGGACCAAAGAGCAATGACGAAAAAGACCAAAAAACCCGCCAACCCCCCTAAAAAAAAGAAAAAAACCACCACAAAAAAACAAAAACACAAACCAAAATCAAAGCTTATCAAAGAAAGTAACATAAGGCACCAAATTTGTTTAAAATAAACTGGCAGAAAAGAAAAAATTAAGTTGTAAAAAAAAAGGTAGGCATATTAATTGTTTCTGACTTACATGTAAGTCTCTGGAGAGGGTGACATTGCTCATGTCAATTGCTCGAGGAGTGTAACCATGGGCTGTATCTACAGAGATCTGAATGACAAACATGCAAAACAGTGGAGTTACACAAACATTTGATACAAAGAAGTTAATGTTAACAAGATACTGAAAATAATGAAAGACCTTAAGGAAAAGGTCACTTGTCTATCTCTAGAGAGCAAAAGGATCCTATGTAGCCCAACTGGAAATACATCAAGGGTGGTAAACTTAAGTGAGATTTAGGCAAAGGTCTACATATTTTGTTCTTAAAGACAGACAGCCATCAGACACAAATCCCCCTCATTCAAATGCTAATTTCACTTGAACTCATTTAAGATTTCAACTCCTTGTGGATAATGCTGTACTAAAGTTATGATTAAATCTCTGCATTTTCTAGAGATTTCTTTTTCTCGGCAGGCAAAATCTCAGACAATCTAGTTTAAGGTGAATTCAGGCAAAAATCAAACTTTGAATTTGGCTTTTCAGCCCTATTTCTACATGTCGGAATAGAATCTACTAAATACATATCTCTTCCCTCCTCCCCACCCAGAAAATATCACCATTTTGTCATTCATTCTTTCTACTGCCCAAATTTGTCACAGGTTTGCTCATTACATTGACACAAATGTTTGAAGAAGGATAAACAATGACAGAGATTCCCTGGGTGGCAAGCCACTGATGCAGGAAATGAGGCTAGAAAAGGGGCATTGCTGGGCTTTCCTCTGTGGATTCTGCTGTAACAGATACATGTCCCCCACAGGTACATGTTCCTTTAGAAAGAACAGTGTCCAGAATTTTGTTCCTATGCCTCATATTATTTTCATGTGCATGTATATGGGCATGTACAAGGCCTAGAAGTTCAAAGGCCTCCTTTCAAAACACAGGTATTTTTGCGACAGAATAAGACAAAGGACGTACAAGCAGCACACAGTAAATAAATACTGATAAAATATTGTTTGCTAAAGCAAACAATGCAAGCATTGTTACATTAACATGAAGATCCTGATTAAATATTGTTAAAATTTCTCGACTGAACAGAGGAAAATGCTATTTTGTGTGTGTGTATGATGATAGCACAACACATTTTAAACACAGGATGAGTATTAATATGACAGTGTAGTCTGAAATACAGAAATATTTTTGGCTTCAGAAATTCTTCTAGAAAATTTATGTAATTTCATTATAGTAATGGAAGACTCTAACTTAGCTACAAAAGCTGGTTTCATATCTTGATATAATTTGAGTCTCAACTGTAAAGCTATTCATTCTAATGAGCTCCTTATGCTTAAAGTATATATGAATATCTCTGTCAATATAGTCTTTGGGGCTGGTATTATAAACACCCAAAAGTCAGGAAATTTGGAAGTCAAGAATTTTGGAAGGCACACTATAAAGTGTGCAAACTATAATGTGTAGTTTAGCCCAAGTGCTAAATCAAATCACTTGATATACACTTTCTAGGGCCTATAAAGAGTGGAGAGGCAGGTTCAACTACTTTTTCACAGGCACATCACCACTCACACATGTAAATAGTGCAGAGCTGAGTAGACACAAGAGGGAAAGATTTTTCCCCTCCCATTTTATTTCCCCCATTGGTTTGGCTCCATGTGTGTCCGTGTGAATGAAAGAGAAAGAGATTTTCCCCCCTCCCCAGTTTAATTGCGAAGTATCTGGAGCTCTAAGAGAATATAGTGCTAGTATTTCTCCATTTTAGCCTTACAGCATTTTGATTTAAGAACTCTATTCTAAATGAAAAAAACCTATCGTTAACATTTTCAGAATTTTGGCTGTCTATAGATGTAAACTTTATGCTGCATTAACATTGATGTTTGTATTAATTTTCCTTAAAAAAAGGAAACAAAAATAATTTACATAAGTACCTTTGTTTATTTCTTTATGTGCTTAAAGGCATCCATAGCCACCAAATTCCAAAAAATAGCAGACTAAAATCATATTAATACTCATTATTAATGTGTAATCACCTACTGATGTAAATAATTCCCCTAAATAATGTAGTTAACCTTAAATCAAGGGAACAAATACATTTCTATTTCAGCTTAGGTTTGGTTTGGGTTTTTTTTTTTTGAAAATGTTTATTAACATATTACTTTGGAACAGGGAAAGAAAGTTCCAGCTTCAGTGAACAGAAATCCAAACCAATCTTCAGGGTTGTACAATTGCTTGTGAAAAATGCTTTTGCATATTCTTATGCTACAGGTTTATTTCATTGCTTGTAAAATCAAAGATTGGAGAGCAGATTTTGCATGCCTTTTTTTAAAATAAGTTTTTAATAAAATGGCTCACTTGACTGGTTTGAGATATGCGACGCGTCCGATTATACAGTGCCATGGAATCTCCCTCCCGTGTTCTTTCAATTCGCCATCCCCATGCCAGCATAGTTTTTAGTGATTCTTTGATTGGCCATCGATAAATTTCTTTCTCCTAGAAGGATGCACATGCAATAATTGCCTTGTTTATTATGTAGCAGTACAGAGCAAAAAATAACTACTCTGCTTTTGCCTGGTTGTACAGAGATGCAAAGAAATGTACTGAAATCAGCCCTTATGGCCCAGGGATACCGCAAAGAAGCAAATAAATCATGTAAGATATTAAAAAGTTTATGTATCATTTCAGAGGTGGGCAGAATAATTCTGGCCTTGCAGGAAGCTGATGATCACAGGGATAACCGTGTGAATGGCATGCTCAGATATGAACTCAAAGGTGGAGCAGCAATTATCAGCACTGTTTTGTCTGCTACATGAAACAAAAAAGACATAATCATAGGATCATAAAAAGAGTTTATGTTGGATTGGACTTCTGGACATCATCTGGCTCAACCTTTGGTTGAGGTCAGATAAAGCTAATCTAATTGGGCTATCAACGGTTATCAATATTAGGTTATCTAGGGCTTGCCATGTCATGCCTTGAATAATTGCAGTGCAGGTGATTTCACCATTTCGCTGGACAACCTATTCCAATGATTAACTTGTCAAGATAAGGAGGATTTCCAGAAAGCATTTCTGCCAAAGCAACTTACACCTTTTGTCCTGTCATTGTGCATCTCTGTGAAGAGAATACATCCATCTTCTCTACAACTAGCATTTAGGTACTGGGAAACTGAGATTATATCCCCATCAGCTTTCTCTTCTTTAAGCTGAACAAACCCAGTTCCTTCAGCCTTGCTTCATTTATCAAGTTCTCCAGCCTTCTAATCATCTTCATGGGCCTCTGCTGGAGAGCAGACAAAGCCTAAACCTGTCTTCACT